ATAAAGCAACTAATTTAATAGGTTGGGTGGAATAAAAGCCTACAGGCACTGCATCTCAAATTTGTGGGGGTGTGTACCCATAACCTATTACCTATTGAGAACTCCATGCCTGTTGAAGAAATGTACTTAAATGTAAATCTAAAATCTGTTTGTATAGAAATAAATTCTGTAGATGTAAATTCTTTCTGTAGAAAGTTGTGTTATACAAGTTGGAAAGAATGAATGGCAGTGATATTTTGTATCCTTCAGTGCAGTAAAAATAATTCCACCAACTCTTTTATAAATTCAAATGCACTTAATTGGCATCACATATCATAGTTAAATTACTATTATAAAGCATGACCCTGCATGGGTAACTTTCTGTGCCACAAAGCCAGGTCTGAGCTTATTTAGAGTAATGTTGGGGGCTTTCACTGAAGAAAAATTCTGAATAGTCTTGATTGCTTTCCCCAGTAGACATACAGTAGGAAGACCCTAATGATTTTCTGTCATTTCATTCAGGAAGTCAATTTTTAGTAAGGGTTCAGAGGTAAAAGACAACAATAATTCACAGCAGTTTATAATTGGTGGGTATTACTTCAGTGGTCATGATAGTTTTTTTAAGAGCAATAAGAAGTCAAAATCAATTATGAAATATATGTATTTATGCCTAAAAGGTGTTTCGTTTGTGAGCTATATGTGAACGTGTTCAACTGGTCAAAGTTGTGGCTATGTCTCACTGATGAGCCCTAACAACTATGAAGCAGCTCTGGCTCCATTTGATTTAATATATACCAAGCAGAATGAAATATCTCTTTAAATGGTTTTGCTTTCTAGCTTCATGGAACAGAGCTGCATTTGCTGGGAACTGGGTTGTTTTGATTGTAAGACACATTGATCAAAGGCATGTTCTGGTTTACTTTGGTTTATTAAGTTCTTGGTAAAACATTAAGGGTCATCAACAGTCCAGGAACACAGGATAAAAAAAGAAAAAGATAAAGAGAGAAAGATGGACAATGGACGGACATGACGACACAAGGAGAAAAAAGAAACTGTGCCAGGAGGGAGGTCCTTGTTCCTAACAGCCTTCAAGACCAGATTGGACCTAAGTATTTAAACCTTCTTAAGAGAGCTTGCCTTTCTGTTGTTCTATGAGACTGATTTCCTGTATAAGGAATCCCTAAATTAAAAATGGCTTCTCCTGGTTATTTAATGCATTTTTATAATAGGTAGATAGGTTTCCCATTCACTTTGAAGCACCCAGATTTACAGACGGAGAGACTTTACTATGCTGTAATTCTTATTCTGTTTAGTTTAAAAGGCAGGTGTATCTCTCATGTTGGCCTATACAGGTGTTATATAAGATCTTTGAATACTTGATTAGAGGTTTTTCTGGTTGGTCATAAGGTAGGTCTCTGAGACACTTTGTAAATAGAGTAACTTGTATGTTGTATATTTTTTGTGATGTTTAGTATGTGTTATTGTCGTTACCAATAAATATTTGTTTAACCCAGTATGCCTGATTTATAACTCTTTTGCCAAAGCTGCACCAGAGAGCAAAGACTCTGTTGTCTTTAATTATACCAACTGCTCAGGTATATTCTTAGCATTGTCTTTAAAATTTGGGGGTTATGTTAATTCAATTATTGATTATCCAGTGATAAATCTCTATTTTTGTAACTCCCTATTTATAACTAATTATATAAGTTCTTATATCCCAGATAACGGGCTTACCTCTGCAATAATTACAGTTGCTACATGACACTGCAAAACTAAATTTAACAGGATGAGTACGACTTTACAGTCCTCAAAAATCATTGCATATACAGTGCTATATCCATGGACTAAAACTGCAGTTCATTACATTTGGTAAGAAACTACAAAACATATAGATTTGCTTGCATAAGTAATTACCTTTTAGCAATAATGCCACATTTTGTTGAATTATAAGTCTATCCACAGTTTTTCAAATGTGCATGGGTGGTGTAATTTTTGTCCACTCTTCCTGGAAAGCTTTTATTGGGAATCATCAATGAATAGTAATCTTGAAGGCTTACGATAAGTTCAGCCATATGTTTTCTATTTAATTCAAGTGAGAACTTTGACTGGATCATTCAAGGGCCTTCACTCCAACCACTCGTTGTGGTTTTGAGCTTGTGCTTGAAAACATTTTCCTGTTGAACAGCCATTTTCAACCATGGCTGACTCAAGCAAGTCCTTTAGGATTTGCTTATATCTTGCACTATCCATTTTCCTCTCAATCCTGACAAACCAGTCCTTGCTGATGAGAAGCACTCCCAAAACATAATACTGCCACCACCATCCTTGTCACTTTGGTATAGTAATAACATCCTTGGGATGATGTTAACAACTGCATTATGTGCTGTGTTGAACTTGTGCCAGACATATTGTAACTCTTTGAACTCACACCAAAGAGCTCAGTTTGTGTCTTGAAATTAAACATCTTATCTCAGATGACATTTAAGATGATTTGTTTTTTCAGTAATGTCTTTTTTTCTTGGCATTCACCCATACAGACCAGCTTTGTGTAGCAAACAGGACATTGTCAATGAATGAATGCAGACTCCGATGTCAGACATAAAAATCTGTATATCTTTCAAGGATAATGTTGGCTTCAAAGTGACAAGTTTGGGAGGATGAGCTGATCTGGGTACTGTCTTGGTGGTACAATAAGTCTTCCACCATTTAATAATTTACTTCACTGTGTTGGGCGATAATCCATACCTTTGAGATTGTCTTGCACCCTTCTCTGGCTTTGTGCCTCTACTGTACCACTTCATTCCCAACCCCAAAATTCCTTGATTTTCATGTTTTTTTTTTATGCTTTCTTAAACTTGGCTATACATTGTTACATAATGCAGGGAAATTTCAACATCCAGTATATATGTAACCAATGCGGTAAACTAGTTAAGATTCCAGGTTTTTATCTAGGTAATCTGGGTCCGATTCAAGATATTGGAATGTAGTTGTCACACCCTCTGCAGCCAGAGGGTGCTCCTTCTCTGTCCTGTCCGTAGTTTCCTGCCTGCTGTCCTTCCGGTCCCTCTCTTTCCCTTGGGCTATATATTTCCGGGTCTTGCACTCTGCCCTCGCTCAGCATTAATGTTCGGATAGGTCCTGAGACTGGCCTAGCACCAGGTCGCCCAACGTCCTCTACCTGAGGGCATAGGTTTCTAAACGGCACTCCTGAACTCTTTGCACGAACGAGCCCGGGCCTTTTTCCCGTCTCGCCGCTACGCATATGGGTCTTTTTCCACTCTCCTGCCTCTCCACGGTTAGTCCCTTTGGATGTCCGTGACAATAGTGTTCTCCTGTACAGTCTAGTACTTATGATGCCTGCCTTTCACCCAGGTGGAATGGGTCTGAATCGCGCTGTGGGAATGCAGTTTGTGGATATATGGTACAGGCTACCCAGCCACGTCATTGAAGTTGATATTTCGGCTTCATTCAGGAAGCAGACAGATGAGACCCTATAACTACCAACAGGCTAGAAGGGCTGAAAGTCCCCCTCAGTTCGAAGCCTGCAGTGATGATATCAGGACTGACCCTTACAGTTGGCTAAATCTTCCAGGTGTTTTTTGTGTGGCTCACTATGCAAGTTGCTACTTGAATTTCTTTGTATACCTGAGGGAAATTATGTACTTTCACTATACACAAGTAGAAACCGTTTCACTAATTTTATCTCATTCAAATAATTAATTTGCACCTGGGCTGATTGAGGGCTATAGTTCAAAGGAGCTGAATACTTATATAACTGAGAATAAGGTGTTTTCCTGTTTATTTTAATTAATTACTGTATATTACTGTACATATGCATTTTAAATTTATCCTTTTGGATTCATCTGTATACAGTATTTGTAACATTCTTCCCTTGGTTATTACAGTACATGTACTTCACTTGTGTGAGTGTAGGCACTAATGAATGTATGTAGGTCTTATTTTGTGAGGAACTGCAAAACACAATACCTTTTAGTAACAATATCTTATGCAAATTGTATTATTTTTAAATTTTGGTAACAATATGCAAGTGGTTAGAGCTTGGTGCTGCAGGTAGGACAGTAATTGGGTCAAATCAATTGGGTGGGATGCTGCCATTAAACTCCTAAAGCAAGGAACTTAATATGAACTCCAGAAAATGTCCTGCTGTATGGATGTCATTGTAAAGATGACTTATTCTCATTTGACATATCTGGTTAAATAAAGAGCATTAAAAAACATTTAAAATAAAAATATTTAAAATAAAACAATACAATTCTTTCCTGGAAAAAAATTGCTGCTTCAACATTATTTTAACTATGGTTAGAACAGCAACTTAGATCCATTTCTGTTATTGCTAGGGGCCAAGACTGGAATTAGCAAGAGCAACATTACTAGGTGGGGGCAAGGAATATCCTTCAGAATAATGGAAAAAGAAGAGGAAACCTGTGTCTAAATGTTAACTGCACCTGGATGCCCATACCACACGATGTGTAAAAATACACAAAAATACACTTAATAGAAGTCATTTTTGAAGCACTAAAATGAAAAAAAAACAACATCTTTTAAGATTGAACTCTGCTTTCTTGCAGTTTAATAAGACAGACCTGATTCCTGATTGCAGTTCTATATTGTTTTCAATGCACTGCTTCACACCAGGCAGACATCTAGAACGCAGCAGAAAATGTGACCATTTTTGCTTTTAGGTATGCCCACTACAGAAACTAACTCTGTACAAAGAGCCACTGTGGATGATTCCTTTTAAGCTAAACACATTTATAATAGCAAGAGGATTCAAAAGCTTTTACAGTTTGCCCTTTTGGCCACAGCCCATTAAAGTCAAGGTACTAACTGTATGTTCTGTCTTTTTACACCAACCATTTCAAACTCAAAAAAGAAAACGTCTGAAGTGACATAATGTACAGCGTCAGATAAAGGCACTTGAGAAAGTTCTGTTCGAGGACAGAAATGCATTAGGAGAAATATTGATGATTGATGTTTTTTGTATATTTTTTTCCTCTCAGGTTGTGATCCTTGGAAAGAACAGCCGTGGCTATCACTACATTTTGGCAAATCTGGTAAATATACAGAAATAAATAAAAGACTGCACACCTTTTTCATATAATGAAATATGCAGATATTTGCCCATATGAAAAAATCAATAATATTGTGTGACATTGATGATTTTGCAGACTTGCTAATTCATTAACTTGTTTCATCTCTTAGTACTTAGTTGTTGTTTAGAATAAATGGGTGGTATGATTAAAGATTGGCAGAGTGTGTCAGCATTAGTCTATAGCTATACATGTAAAGGAAATATATAATAGTATAGTATAAAATTAATTGATTACTATCGATGCTGCCTATGATGTAATTTCCGTGACTTTGCGCCCCATAGCATACTCCCTAGATTAGCAAAATGATGCTTGTAGGGAAACTAAGCTAAAATCACATGAAACATACAGTACAGCAGTGACACTGATAGTGGAAGAAAGTTTTAAAATTTGCCTTTAGGGGATCTTATCCAGATCTGCCACTGTATTATGCAAAGACATAGTACTGCATGGCATGTTATTCTTCTTGTTTTAAAAATGTCATCATGAAATTATGTAATAGTAGGAATTTTAGATTTTTTTACAATTTAATAATACATCTATATGCACAAAATATCAAAACTCAAATAGTATGAGGAGTAATAGGACAACATGCAAACATGACAATGACTAGCTCACTGCTACAAACTGGGGGTGTGGCAAAAACCTTATCTCATGGGTTCTACACATGTATTTGTAGATCAAGGTCTATCCTTGATCCAGACATTCAGTATATGACAATAGTTGTTGCCTACAAAAGAAGTATAATTATAAAATATTTTTTTGATTATTCACCATAAGAGAATTAAATAACAGTTTTAAACATTAAACAAATAGACTAGCAGTGTATTTCATAAGAGTTTAGTGCCTTTTTTGTAGGTCAGACATTGCAGATAGGAGAAATTCGCCACCATGCTGTTAAACAATCTGAACGGAGAGTTCTATTTGCTGTTACAGTGCCTTTAGGAAATTTCACAGAATGCGGCTTTCCATGGTGACACATACTGCATTATGACAAACAACACTGGTCCCTATGCTGTAAAGAAAGTGAACACAGTATTATGTTTAGTGATCGTCTCCTCTGTCAAGTCATTTTTAATTTCTTTCCTTTTTCTAGGGCTTCTCCAATGTGAGCTTGGACAAGGTCTTTCTCGGTGGAGCGAATATAACTGGGTTTCAGATTATCAACACAGAAAACCCAATCGTGCAGCAGTTTCTGCAGCGCTGGGACAGGCTAGATGAAAGAGAGTTCCCTGAAGCACGAAACACTCCACTAAAGGTACTGTAGCTAGGCCTTTTATCTTGTAATAGAGGAATGCTTTATAAAATAATATAACACACACCAAGCTATCTTGTTACAAATAGTCTGCACAATTATTTGATCCCTAGTATTATCCCTAGTACCAAATGCTGCCCTGCATAAAGATCAACGTATCAATACAGGTTTCATAGAAAGCTACGTTGGGGTTAATTTACATCTAGTTAGTGAATGATCAGGAATGAAATGGATTTTATATAACCATAGTTATGGTGCTGCTGTTTAGAAATGGCCCTTGTTCACAATTTTGTAGAGAGCAAAATTAAGAGGAATAATGGAGAAAGAGAGTGACATTGCAGAAGAGCTGTGCAGCGTTCAACAATATTAAAATGACCAGCTTTTGACATCATTTGTAGCCAACAGCTCCAAGCACAAAACCGAACATTAACATACACCGTGAGACTGCCCATCATGCAGGGCCGTGTGAACTTTGCTCTAATTTATGAAATATTTGTGTTCTAATTTATTTGACACAAATCTGTTCCACATACCTTGATGATGTCCATTAGTATTAATGGCAGCTAATTTGCTTACTCTGATCCCTTACACTTAATGTACTTTCTGAAGCAGAGCTCTGAGAGAAGTCATTTATATGTAAATGAAAAGATGTTCATCTCTTATGTGATACTAGAAACTACTCAGACATCAGCATAAAGGAATGACATTACGAAAAGCCAGGCGGAAGTAACTCCTTTGATTCCTATAAAAATCACATGGTCTGAAGAAGCTCAGAAAAGTACTACTATCCTGCTCTAACATTGATACATGCACATTCTTCAATTAACTTTAAGCTGCACCTCCTATCCGATCAGCCTAAATTATTCACTTAGTCATTATGCCACTTTGTGCTAATTTATAACAAAGCTGTTAAATAAAGTGAGTTCTTTATGAGTTTTGTGCAGGCTTACAATTCAATATTCAAATAAATTCAGTATTAAAGTTTGAAATACTCTTCATTTCTGCAAATCTAGTCACTGTGCTGTTCAAAAAGCTTATTGTTTAGAATATATTGTGTGAATTTATTTATTGATAGTTAATTCTGCCATTGAGTCCTAACATTTAAGGTCTTGCTGTTTTAAAAAAAAAGTTATTACAGTGCTAATATGCCTTTAACAAACTAGGCAGAAGTTTAGGCTTAATAAAACATAATCAAATGCCTGAGTCCTTTGGTTGTAATTAATTAAAAAACTGCTGAAAGTAAAATATGTACAGTATGTATGCTGTATATCTGAGCATTTGGCTTTATCCATAATTAGAATTGTTGACATTAGGGGCAATTTTATTCAGTGTTTTACACTCACAGCATCTCTTTGATAATTTAGAGAACCTTGATATTTTGAGTAATTAAGCTGTTTTTAGGTGCTGTCAGTATGTCATATTTCTGATTTACAATGTTAAAAGATTGAAGTGATACTGATTAATTCTTCTGGCCATGAAAACTTCACAAAAAATATACTGTGCTAGTTCCTTATAACAAGGTAACAACGTTGTTAGCATTTTGAATTCCTGAATTTGACTCATAACATTTTTATACTGTCCTGAAATATATACATAAAATGTCTATAAGTTCAAATGTATTCATAACTGTGGCTATAATCAATAAATATTTCTCTGCTATGAATTACTGGCATCCTTTCATCTAAAGGAAACTAATTTTAGTTATCACTGGCTTTAAGCTTCTCAGGGAAAGTTGAGCTTTATTATAAAGGCATGTAGTAATGGTTTGTTTAGAATAGCAATGTACAATAGGCCATGAGATTTAGAGCATAAAGTCCTTCTCTGTGATTCATTATATTGCCCATTCTGAAACAATCAGATTTTGTCAATTGCTTTGTTGCCTTACTTCAAAGTAGACCTCACTATTCTTTATTTTTTATTACATTTAATTCATATTAATTTAACAAACATACAACATTAATACTTAAAGTAGAGCTCAAGGCACAAGGTTAAATTAAAAATGTAATTGAATATCAAAGATTTTAATGTAAACCTTAGACATATTTACTTTTCCTGTATTAAAAGATGGGTACAGATTTCTAACATTTTTCTAGTGAAAGACAGATATTGCAATGTTGTTTGAAATCGCTAGCTCCAGGCAATCATGTGCTAGCAAAGAACAACCATAAAAAGGAGCAACAGTTTTATCATAATAAGTTGAAGAAGGAGGATGAGGAGGGTATGTTTTTTATTAAAATATTTTATAATGTTATAATGTAACGTGTAATGTTATAATCCCAAATTATGAACTTTTATTTTCTTTTTAAAAACAAAAGTTTACTTACCTATTACAGCAGAATGCAGCTCCTTTATTTCTGTATAACAAAGACTGCCCTGTACTTGTAAAATGTAGACATATCCCAAACGCATTAATTATACTTTTTTAGAGAACCAAGGGCAAAGAAAAGTCAGAGATTTTCTTATCAGGGTATAATTACCCAAAGCAGAAGCGATTATGTCAAGATACAGACTTAGTCACCTTGTGGGACATTGCTAAAGCTGAGCTACCTATACATGTTCTGTTACAGTATACATCTGCTTTGACTCATGATGCCATACTGGTGATAGCTGAAGCCTTCCGCTACCTGAGAAGACAGCGAGTGGACGTGTCACGGAGAGGCAGTGCGGGAGACTGTTTGGCAAATCCGGCCGTACCCTGGAGTCAAGGCATTGACATTGAAAGAGCTCTAAAAATGGTAGGAAGGGGAGTGTTTCTTGCAATTCCAGGACACTCCTGGTCACATACTGTATCTATTCTTTGGCACACTGTTAAATGAGGACACTGCAAATTAAAACACTACTATCCATTGATCTGCAATTAAACTTTGTAAAAGTACAAGTCCAAGGCAATACCTTGCTTAGGAACAAGTAATAGGTTTATTCAATGCTGAAAAAAAGAAGAAAGAGAACACAACGTTTCAGCCGTGGAGCCTTCTTCAGGTGTGAGAGAGACATGGCAGTAGGCAAAGGTAAAGTAGCGGGAGAACAAAGGTTGGGAGGGAGGAGGAGTGAGAGGCGGGAGCAGGGGACAGAAAGAGAGGCCAATCAAGAGGTGTGAAGTCAGAATGGGTGCAGAGAGGTGTGAAATAAAACTTCCAATGAATGGAGAAAATTTAAAAGAATAGTAGTCTGTCGTTAAGAGAAGGGAGAATGTGTGATCCTAGCTGCAGAATAATTTTGGTTTCTGTGGTCTTTCTGATGTATGGGTTCTGAAAACCATCTTTGAGAACACAGACGGAGAGATTAGAGTGGTTGTGGCCGTCAAAGGTGAAATGAGAAACAATGGGCTTGGAGAGATCTTTAATCTTCACAGCCCTGACGTGTTCTTTGAAGCGGTCTCCGAGTCTCCTTCCTGTTTCTCCAATGTAGATGGCTGGGCATTTACTGCAAGAGATACAATAAATAAGGTTGCTGGAGGTACAAGATGCTGTCTGGGTGATCCGGAATTGTCCTGAGGGGCCTTGAATGAGTGTGGTGGTGGATGTGTACTTGCAGGTGATACAGCGAGCTCTGTTGCAAGGGAAAGTGCCTGGTGTGGATGGTTGTTGAGGGCGGTCAAGGGAGCTGTGAACAAGGAGGTTACACAGATTAGGTGGTCGGCGATATGAGATGATAGGGCGATCAGAAAAGAGGGCCCCAATGGAGGGATCATCCTGTAGGATGGAAAAGTTGTGGTTAATGGTCCTGGTTAATGGTCCTGGGGATAGGAAGTGTGTTAGGGTGGTAAGGAAGCACCAAAAGAATGCTTGCTTAGTCTACCAGTTAAAGTAAGTATACCAAGAAATGACCATCTTCCTCAATATGGTATTTAACCAGGGAATATCTTTGGCTTTATTTTTGTTTCCTTTATGCATGGCAGGTACAAGTACAAGGTATGACTGGGAACATCCAGTTTGACAACTTTGGCAGAAGATCTAACTACACCATCGACGTGTATGAGATGAAACCAGGAGGGCCCCGGAAGGTAAAAATACCATACTGGGTCTGAGCTCACATCCAGAGACATCTCCAGGATGAAAGCATTCTTCACATTTGAGATTAATTGCCACATGTGACTGTAAATCATATGTTTTAAAGTCTTACACATGGTGTTCTTTATAATGAGTCTAATTATTATCCCATTATTACTATTTAGTGCAGTGATCCATATTGGCAATGAATAATATATCTTCAAATTGTTTTCGATCCAAGTTCATTTCCTAAATCAATAGATGAAAAAACCTGGACCGGGACTGACTTATGCGCCTACCAAGATGCCTTATTTTCCTTCAACCAAAAGATTTTATGACTGGTATTTTCATTTTAAAGATCTACCAAAAAAGTAATGAAAAGAATAGAACATAGCATTAAAGCATCTGGGTATCAATGTGACATTTCTAAATCTCCACTGATCAACAATGTACAAAAAATATTTTTGTTCCTCTTGTTCAGTGTAGAATATGTTATTTACATTCCAATTGATCATATTGCACATCAAGCAAATTGCTGTAATCGTGCCTAATTGTAGTACGATTCAAACCCACCATTAAAATAGAAACTTGCCAGAATAAATGGCACATACTTTGCAACATGTTGCCCTATGTTAGAATCTGATTAAGCCTGGAATCTTTAATTCTTAGAAAGGTGGGGGAGTTTTCTTTAGGATAGGCACATTAGTGGGAAGTATATATGTTAATTGTGTATACAATTGCAAGACATAATCCCAACAAGACTGATGCAAATTACGATATTTTGAATGGTAATTGCAATTATCTTGCCCACCTGCTGAAGAAAGAAACAAAGATCAATGCATTTCCTTCCACTTTAATGAATAGCATTTTTGATTGCTTGTGTGTGCTGATCATTTAAAGGTGTCTGTTTTTAGGGCAATGCAACAGTACAAAGCTTATATGTGAATAAAAACAGTAAAATTGAATGGGTCGTAAACAAGCAAACCGCTGTTGGACGTGGTGGCACTGAACAACGTGAACTGTAATTTATACTTAAGAAGAATGTTTTATACAATCACTTAGCACTCCAGCACAAATATACAGTAGCTATCTTTAGTCAGAGTTTCTTACATAGCCAGATAAAGGAAAGAAGAAAGACAGAACCTGTCAGGTTGATGTATTATGTGATTCTTCCCTGCTGCTCACCTACAATACTGTAAGCAAGTCAGAGAGGTAGAGGAGGTTGTCAGTGTCCTAGCCTTTATGTTACAAACATTTTGGCCCCCGTACCTATGAAGTGTACCACTGTTAAATATCATAGGGGAAAATCAATTTCATAACATTTCTTTCAAAAGGTTTCCTTGGCTCTAGTTTTCCAGTGTTCAGCTGTGTATTTTTGAATTTTTGAGTGCTGCAGGTAAAATGATGCTTCGTGTTTAAATGAGAGTGCTGGATTACACATTAAGATGTCATTTTGAAATACACTTCCGTAGAGACTGAAGAGGAGATTTGTAGGATATAAATGAAAGGGCCCTTAGCTTTCCTTCATCCTTCTACAAAGGTCGTTACCACAAATGAGTAAGTTTCAGTCAAGCTCTCATTTTCAAGCTTTGAGATTTTAGAAGTGATCAGGTTTTTCAATTTAGCAAAACCAGGAAACATTCCACACTACATGGGCCCCTTCTAAAAGGGATTTTAGAAGCTGAAAGAATAGCACAGTAATAGCTCACTACACTGAGTTTCAGTGCTTTGTTCCAGTACTGGGTCAGCTGAGGTCAGGCACCAACTGTTCACTGTGCTTTATTTCTGGTGTGTCTTGCGGGTACAGTTATAACATTAAGCACTGAACGAGTCAAGACAATTTAAAATGTGTGTGGTGGTGAATGCAATAACACCACATCCTCATTTTTTAATGTCCCCTTTTTTCTGAGGTCCATAACGACAATAAATAATAATGTTTGTGTTGCTTTCAGATCGGGTACTGGAACGAATATGAAAGATTTGTATATATTATGGATCAGCAGGTCACCAACGACACATCGTCTGTGGAAAACCGAACAATTGTGGTCACTACTATCATGGTACACTTTCCATGCTGTTTAAATGTTTCACTAATTCTGCCACTCAAGGTCAAGGTGTTGATTCTATGATTCGATACATTCTGTCCTGGGAGGGTAGAACTTGTTGATTTCTTGCTTTCCACCCACTCATTACATGTTCAAACAGTCGAGTAAAGAGTGTTTCAACTGTATCCGTGTGGGTGTCAAAGCATTTTGATTCTCCATACCAGTGGCCTGTTGTAGCAGTGACATCACAATAACGGCTTTGGTAATGGTAATGGTCACGGTAATGTTTCATTCATTTAATATACTGTAGTTAGTTTTTAGCAAAAGCTTAGGATGAAGGCAAAATCCCTAATCTCACCCACTTTCTGCTTAAATATTATGCTTCTTTCTTACACGCTTGCATGTTTAGTTTTTGCATCCCGCCCTCTACCCCTTTTGATCCTCCTAGCATATCCTTGGCTCCTCCTTCATTAAAGGAGTGTCTCTGACAGCCCCATTCTTTCGCATGAGTTATTCTCCTCAGCCAAGTGAGTTACACACCAATGAAGCTCACTTTTCGAATCATGCCTCTTCTTTACCTTAATTAGGGTTTGACCAAACTACTGAGACATAAATTGCGTAAGTAGCTCATCATCAAGTAAATGGTCAGTGACAAATGGGATAGAATTCCTAGGCAAACCAGCAAAATTGCAATGGTTTCTGGCTCTGCACTGCACTGGTAATGCAAAATAATCATTTCTTGAGTGAAGACATAAACAACTTCAGTCTCTGCTCCTTGGTTTTTATTTCTTCGCTCAAATCTATTTTGCATTGTGTTCTGGGAGTTCTGCTTTGAATTAGGGGTTCTTTTTCTGAATTTCCATGCTGACTTAGATTTCCAGTTATATGCTAAAAGTTAACTTTAAGTTATTCTGGTAGCATTCTATTTAAAGTGCGTTAACTGTGCTTTCACTGTATTTTGGATATTACGTTTCCATCCTTATCATGTCTTTTTTGCATGTTTTTTTTACATTGAAGCCAATAATTGGACAAAACGTGTCTAATCTGATTATAATGGAATATTTTCTCTTTTTAAATTGTATCTACACCAAAGTACTGTCTTTATGGACTGACTTACCATGTCTTTCTTTATAAGAAGGACTTACAAAGATTTAAGACACTAATAGAAATCTAAATACAGTACTTTATAAACAGTTCCAGAAGGGGTTGGTTCCAAAAGCAGATAAATTCACTGGATATTGAGATATGTTTTTGTTGCTCTATATTATTGTATTTCTTTAAATTCTTAAAATCATATGGTCATAAAGACCATATTTTACTAGTGTGTACTAGTGTCAATACCTTGGCCATATCAAGGGAAATTACTTTTGAATTTACATAGAGGAGAAAGGGCACATTGAGCACAGAAAAATGTTAAAACCATTGCTAACCCCCAATGACATCCTAACTATTCTCTGCTCCAATTGGAGAAGGTATTCTTCTCTATGAGCATTTTTTAATGATGTGCAAATGCTGCAGTGTGTCTTTGAAGGAAGAAGGCACATACCATTTTCCTTGTGTATTTTAAATATGTAAGATATTACTTTTTGAATTATAACTATGGAGATAAGTTATTGTAGTTGGAACAATGCACAATGTTCATGCACATTGATGCAATGTGCTGCACTTTGTTACTACTGATACTTCTCATCCCTCGTCAGTCACTGCAATTTACTTTATGAATGTAGAAATATCCGGTCAATATCCCTTGAATCTATACAGAACAAATGCAAATGACCACATTTTGTCCATATCAGAAAGTTAAACAAATTAAAATTGGAAGACTTGTGAAGCACAACCTCATGCCCCTTTCTAGCTATCCAGTCTTAACATTTCACTTTACTTTTCTTTTAAAAAATGGGGGCTTCCTGCATTTGTTTCTGAATCAGCTATGAAACCCGCTTAATAAAACTCCTGTTTGTGGGGTTGTACATCACCCAAGTATGTCATCCAAGCATGAAAGCATGTGATGAATTATGGACTGTTACAATACATGGGAGAAATGTCTGATATGTAATGAATGTGTAACTATAAATTAGCATATGTTTAATTAACAGGAAGCTCCATATGTGATGTATAAGAAAAACAGTGATCATCTGGAAGGAAATGAAAAATATGAAGGCTACTGTGTCGATTTAGCTTCCGAAATTGCAAAACATGTCGGGATAAAATACAAATTGTCTATTGTAACGGATGGAAAGTATGGTGCACGGGACCCAGAAACTAAGACGTGGAATGGGATGGTGGGTGAACTGGTATACGGGGTAAGTAGTAGGACTGCTCATTTTATAACCAATCCTCAGATTCTGTATTTCTGTTCAACACCTGAATCATGTCAAAATGTACAAGATGTGTCTCAGTGAAGTAAATACTATGATGCCATGATTTAAATCTTCATCTATGAACTCTTGGTGATAGTTAGATAAAGGATTCTCCTTGCAAAACTGTAGATTGTTACCATCTGAGACACCAAGAATGGGAGTTGTGAATTGCACCAGAACCATCATTTGGGAAATGTGGACTATGAAACAACATATACAGTACATTTTTAGTATAAACCTTTTTTTATTTTATTTGCTTGTTACAGTCATTTGCCTATTTTTTTAGTTTAAAGAATGGTTGGTTTCTTTCGCTCTGCTATAAGTTCAGCTTTCCTAAATACAGTAGATTCTGGTTTAGTGTGGTATTATGAAATCCCACTTTTGAAAAGTTAATATATTTATATAGATCTTTTTTTCTATCCAGTTATTTTAGATAACCTTGGAATATTTCAAGAGTACTCAGCTCCTAACTCTGAATTATCATATTTTCCTTTAGATCTCCTGATTTCAGATTTCTAACAATAGAGAAGCAATCACATAGTGGTTTACTTTATACATGGTGGAAACATATAAAGTTTAGGGAACCATATCTGTTCAATTTTCCAGCCATCAGTGAAAAAGATTGTCTGCTTAAATGCACTAAGGGGAGAACATTATTCTTGAAAATGAAAAATTATACTCTCAAAAACAATGGACAAAAAAGCAATACCCTCATTAGCCTGTTACATGAGAAGTCAAAACTCCTTTGAAACATACCACATCTGTGCAACAAAAGATCAGCTGAATGTTTGATTCTAATGGCTTCTGACCTTTTGACAGACTTATAAATTAAACTATGTTTGGTTGTTTTTTAAAGGTTATGTACATTTGTGCCCTTTGTTACATTATTAAAGTCAATATTTATTGACTGCATTACAGCACCTCATTAGAATAGACCAGCAAAACATTTAGTGTGTACAGTATAAAATCTAGTTTATGGATGCTGTGTGTGTCAAGCACCCCCAATATTTTGATCATATTACAGTTAAATCAGAAGTGAATATACTGTATGGCTTACTTTGTACATGCTGTGGAGGCTACTATAGGATTGCACAGTGCTAAATAATTATTATGTCTTGTCCTGTACTCCATTGGCATGCTATCTGAATGTTAATTAAGATTCAGATGACATGATTTAACTACTGTAAATCATAAGCAACCAATATTTGATCTGAAAACGTATCTCTGCAGCATAGCTGATGCTATCAAATACAGTATTTCAGAAATAAATTAATTTTTACTATGGAATACCAGGCCTACAATAACAAATACAAACCCCAATATTTGCACTTTAATATTTGACTTCTGATAGTAAAAGAAAATCATCTTCCAAAGAGCTTTATGTTGGCCAAAAAGCTGCACCAGAACCAGGGCAAAACTCAAGAAAGTATTGAAATTCCAGAACAAAAGTGGGTATAAACCAGTACGTGGTTTATCTGTAATGATAAGGTTTTAAAAAGAAAAGGATAGGGCATTAATAACATTTTCTACAAAGACAAAATCTGCATTTTGTCAATAATGCAATCATGCAATAGAAAGTTTTAAATTTGAAATAACTGTGTTATAAAATAATGTGCCTAATCACATGCACAATGTGTATCGTCATCTGTTAAAAAAAAATGCACCTATTTTCATGAATATTCTTTTCAGCTGGACACTGAAGAGGATTTACAGTACATAATTTAATTAACGGCACACAATGCAAAGGAATACCTGATCCCTTTTACTGATAGAAAAAAATGCTTAATTTCCATTTTGAGATGAGAGGGGGACAAAGAGGCTCTTTGTGAATGTGCAAATATTTTAAGACGAGAATCTCCAATAACTTTGTAATGTTGGTTCTTATGGTGTATAGTAGTACAAATATCAGCAACTAAAAGCATTTAATTTCCTACTGTACACAAATGCTCATATTATAAACTATATTTAGTACTAAAATTATAGAACCTGGATATTCAAAATTTATTATACAATTTAAACTTTGATTATTAACAGCCTGTGGAGGTTTTGTTAACAGAATTTTAAGTACTTTGTCCAAAAATACAGCACTTTGCTGTTTAATATATAAAACAAATGTAGCAGTTTCATTAATATAGTAAATCTAAAAGTGTTTTCTGAGGTAAAAATGTATGTTGAATTATATAAATATAAGTTCATATTTCACAAATGAAAAAAATAGCAAAAAGTAAGTTCATTTTGCATTGGATATTAACTTATGAAGTTAGAAATTAAAAATATAATAATTAAATTAAATTAAAATAAAGTCAGGAACAATCTCATGACTGACTCTATTTCAGTCAATATCAGTTCAGCTTTCTAATTCAAAACAAAACTCTATATAACTATAGTGAAGAGTATTTTTGTAACACATACAGAGTTCTTTTAGTGATGTACTGTTTGGAAGTTTCTTCTATGCCTACAAATATTGCAGGTAAAAACATGGTGTAATTAAATGTTATTGTAATTAACAAATTGGTTTATAACTTGAGCATTCATCACATAGGAACTAACTTTTTTTTTCATAATGTTATCAACATGACCTGTAATGATCAGCATCATATACTGTACATACTGTAGAAACTACAACAGATGAAGAGCAGACGTCTTAGTGATTCATGGATTTCACCTAGCTTGTTCATAATGCAATTAATAGCACACAAAGTTATTATTTTTTTAAGAATTGAGAGATCTTTAAAATATATTCTGGCAACAAGTCATCACTTAAAAAATAGTACATGGAACTTTAACTTTGGCATTAACTTTAGCTTTGCAGGTAACAGGAGTCTGAATGTAACCTGATGAATACACCTGTTGGATACAGTATACTATATGTCTCCGTAAATTGTTCATAGTTTCCTGTTTAAAATTATGTTTTTCTGGTGCTGGAACGAAAAAGACCAAGATAATATAATCATCTGTAAGAATTCATGTCAGCTGTGTAAGCTTTGAAACTTTGCAGAGTTTTACACTGCAAATCATTTAGACCATTAATTAGCTTTCCATGTATGACACATGCATTATATGTACAGTACATGATATACAATGTGCATGAACATTTTTTCTGTACCGTTTGTTGCGCTGAAGCTTAGAGTAATGACACTTTGTAGCAACAATTAATATTTGTTAAATAAAACAACCTACTGAATAAAATCAAAGCAGAAAAACAGATATTTAATATGAGAAAAATGGAAATGTCATGATTACATAAATATTCAAACCCTTTGCTGAGGCACATCTAATTGAATGAGCTCTGAGTGTAATTAGTAGTGGTTCCTATGATTTCAGAATATAAAAATACCTTTTTCTTGGTTCCTTGGTCATGTAGTGAAAAGGCTCAATCAGGAAGACTTGGGAACTTTCAAAGCAAGTCAGGGATAATGTCAATGAAAAGCACAAATCTTAAGTGTAGAAAAAAATCACAATCACTGAAGATCCCTGTGAGTACAGTCAATTCAAACACATAGACACTGTCTAGATTAGGCAAATTGAGCAGTTGGGCAAGGAGGAAAATGGTGAGGGATGCCACTGTGAGGCCAACAAACAACTTTGAAACACGGCTTTCAATGGCTTAATGGTTCAGTGGCTGAGATGGAGAAAATATCTCTGGGTCAACAATCTCCTAGTCACTTTACAAAGCTAGCCTGTATGGCAAAGTGGCAACATTTTCCTCGAGCTGGAACTTAAAAGACCAAGAGAATATAAGGTGTGATAACATGATCATCTGTATGTATATATAATTCATATCAGATGTGTAAGCTTTGGGACTTTTAGAGAGTTTTACTCTGCAAATTACAGGCTTCTTAAAGGGATTGGCTACACAAGGTTGATTTAAAAAAACTGTTAACATGTGGCAGGAGGTTTTGTGTTCAGACAAAATTAGAACTTGGTGGTGTAATTGTAAAACGTTACAAATGGCTCTAAACCCACACAGCACAGCACCGAGTCAATGCCATCTTTACAGTCAAGCATGGTGGTGGCAGCTTCATGCTATGGGAATCCTTCCTCAGCAAGGACTAGAAAACTAATTAGAATTGAAGGAAAAATGGACAGAGTTGAGTACAGGCAAATGCTAGATGAAAACCTGTTTCTGTCTCCTAAAGACTGAAAAATGAGATGAAAATTCACTTTTTAGCAAAATTGAAAAGGTAAATGTCTTTCTTAAGAGGTTGAGTGGCTCGGTCAAAGTCTTGATTTGAAACCTATTGAGAATCGCAAGCAACATGAAGGATTTGCTTGAGCAAATCTGCGAAAATGGGCAACATTGCATCAAGCCAGACATGTTTAAAAATGTGTCTATATCATTTAATAATTTCCAAAAAATGGGAGACCACAGGAGGGCTGTGAATACTTTTGCAAGGCAATGTATGCTAGATGTGTGTTTTATACATCGAGATGCAGCTCTATAGTGATATGGACATTTTAAACCTGGGGTGCTTAATTCACCCTGTATAGATTTGTCCTTTTGCAAAGTCATTCTGGTTAAAGGTAAATAGTTATGTGCCATTTTATACTTCTAAATGTATTGGTTTCATGCTCTCAACTTCATCTTTAGTAAAATGACCTGCCTAACATCTTAAAATGTATCTATGTTTTCAGTACTGTGATTGAGGTAGACATCTGGAGATTAAAGGTTTTATGGTATTAATGCACTTAAGGTTTTGATTTTATCTGACTTCTTGCATTTTAGAACCTGCAGGTTTGATCGCTGCTTGGCTAGGTACACCTACCAAAGGGGTTTTATTAGTCTACAAAAATAAACATTTTGGAAGCACCAACCAAATCTCATTATCAGGTCTTCCTTTTTAAAACTTGGTTCTGTCTTGCAATTAATAAGTATACCATTTGTGACATACTGTATAAGTCATAAATGTCTTGTAAGCGACAGGCTTCTTAAAGGCATTGGCTAACCAAGGTTGGATAAAAAAAACTGTAGATCATGTCACATCCACATTGACATAAAAAACCTAGTACTGTACTTGCACTTTTTGTAAATAATGTCATACAGTATGACGAGAATGAGATACTGACTTCTGGTGAATGGACTTTTTTTGTACAGGAGGAAAGGGTAAAAATGCAACAGACTTTGTTTTGCTTGTTGTTTTGTTTTTTTGCTCCATCTAATAGCTTCACAAGAGTGCAATCTAATCCAATCGGGCAATATTTAAAGTACTCAAGCTGTTCACGCGGCTACTTTAAAGGAGATGACCAGATTAGTTCAGATGAGCATGATAATAAGTAACAATATACAGTACAGCTCTCTGGGGGAAAGGAAGAGCTAATGCTTGAGAATTCTGTAATTCATATGATTACCAATTTAAGATTTAAGAAATAAAAAAAGCAAAGCAATAATGTAGAGTTATGAATATTCTAAACACAATTTAAAATCACTTTTGGGCACTGTATCAGCCTCTAACTAATGTCTCAGAAATATATTGTTACTGTCAAAAGTTATTAACAACTGAAGACTAATGCATACTGTACGTGTTCCCATTTCCAGAGAGCAGATATAGCCGTTGCACCTCTTACTATAACACTGGTACGAGAAGAAGTGATTGACTTTTCTAAACCCTTTATGAGCTTGGGAATCTCCATTATGATAAAGAAGCCTCAAAAGTCCAAACCTGGAGTGTTCTCCTTCCTGGACCCTTTGGCCTATGAAATTTGGATGTGTATAGTGTTTGCCTATATTGGAGTCAGTGTGGTCCTCTTCCTGGTCAGCCGATTCAGTCCCTACGAGTGGCATTTGGATGACAGTGATGAAGCAAGAGACCCCCAGACCCCACCGGACCCTCCAAACGACTTTGGAATTTTTAATAGTCTCTGGTTCTCCCTGGGAGCCTTTATGCAGCAAGGATGCGATATTTCACCAAGGTTGGTTCTTCATTAACATCCATCACCTTTTTGCATTTTATGGTCATAAAAGCTGATGCCATGGTGCATATATGTTATTTTTTTCCTACTCCATTTTCTTTTAATTTGCTTCTTCCCCAACCCCCATTTATTAAAATTCATCATCTTGGCTCCATGCTTGCAGTCATGCATTGCAATCCACAAATAACTTATATACACCATGCCGGAGACTGTAAAATGCATAGGGTCAATTTCTGTTTCTCTTTCTACGACACTTGGAGGGCTACCGTGTTTTTGCTGCATATCCCATTTTACGGTCATCAGCTTGGTGCATATAATGTATTTAAGGTGGAGGACTAAAAAGTTGAATACCCTTCCCCATCTTAGCATCAGCACTCTGATGAAGCACCTTCAAGCACATTGCCACATCAGGATGGCTTTTTTTCACTCATTCTGAGCTCTGTCATGTCTTTTGTTTTCTTCTTTTCCAACATTCAGTGCATCATTTAATTTTAAACTGTTATTTATTTACTGTTATTATTTTTCATGCTGCATCCCTTTTCACTGTACCTCACAGGAAGTGTCATTGTTCAATCTGTTATTACTTTCTGAAGTCGGGTGTTACTTAATTAGGGCCCCTTTGAACAACATCTTGTCATCCATCACTGCAGTACCGTATGTATCTGTTTCTCCTGCAAGGAGACAACTGTTCTATGGGTTATTGAAATGCCTCAAGATTAATTAAATACAGTTTATCTTTGAGATGTCTTGATGAGAAAAGTTCTATATAAAACCATCATCATTATTATTTCAGTTGTTATGAACTAAATAGTTATTCATGCTCTGGATGAGATATATCAGTATGCTCAAGAAGCAGTAGCATAGCATAACTACTTTTAGAATGACATACTGTAGATAAGTGGTTGGTCTGATAGTGGTATACTGACTTGCATCGACCACAAAAATGTGGGATTCTAAATTAACTATTTAGAAGTCATAAATGTTAATTTAGCAGAGCATAAATACAGATAGGGAAAGGAAGAATGTTCATATGAATGCCACATTAAAAATCTGAGAATTTAAAACCACAATAAGACTTCAATTACTGTTGAATCTATCTAATTAATGTTTAAGTCCCATAGTTCCCTATGAATAATACTATACATTATTTGATTTATTTGCAAAAAAGATTGGGTTTAATACTCCCTGTGTTAATCCTTATGTCCATTGCCAGCTACAAAATCTACTACAGCAGGCAGAGCTTTCACTGTGCCTTCAAAAATGTGGAACAAAGGGATAAGCTGTCACAGAATAGATGCTGTAGGATGCATTTCGATTTTCATGGACAATTAAGAATCCCATTTCTGTGAAAGCCTACAGTATGTCAGCTCCTAACATGCCATGTAACAGACTTCTAAAGCCTGCCTAGGTAGGACTACTGCAGCAAAATAGCTGTCTGCAAGCCGAAAACAAAACAGGAATTTATACTGTATTTGGCATATGTTACATTTAAAGATTTCCATGTATGTTTAGTTCCAAACATACACTTTTGGTTGTTTGATGGCATTGGGTTATCATTAAGTAAGGTGACAGGGATTATGTTTAGCTTTTGAACTGGCACGCTTTTGAAGCAATGCCCAATGGCACTCAGTAGCTCTTGTACAGCATGTGCATTTGTCTCTTCCACCAGTAATGGTGGACAATATTTTAGAAAATTTAATATTTTAAACCATGTACTATATTTGTTTGATGGCAGATCAATCTGAGAACAAAAAAATGAAACCACTTATCCTACAGTAAGTCTTATTCTATTTGAAATTGCTCCCAAAGACCAAAGCACATCGACTACACAAAGGCTATATTAAAAGGGATGATTCAGAAATGAATCTCATTCAGAGAACCCTTTAAGAGTATCTATTTCTACAACTAGTCACCTCACACAACACAGCTAAAAAGTAAATGTTTCTGCAGTTGTAATGAAGTTTATCCAATCTGCTTGGAGGCAATTTTACTTGGAAAATTTCATTGTAATGTTTATGCAGAAGACTACAGATTTTCAGAAGATGTAAAATTTGATGTAAAAAGAAGAAACATCAGATGTTTTGAGATACAATTGAATACAGCTTAAGTCAAGTCAGACAACACTACAAAGAATAGTACACCACTTTTAACTGAAGGCTTCTATCATTATAGGTCAATAACCATTAATTATGTCTTATGTATTGTTTGGTACAGTAAAGGTAATTCTTAAATCAATATGTTCAGTTTTGGATATTTTATGGACAGCAGAAATCATTACAAGTTAATGCTTCCCTATAGTTGTCAGGAGTATAAAAGCTAAATGGTATCTGAGCACCCAGATTGCTTTCATCTATGCTTTCATAGATTGCTTTTTTTGACAAAGTAATCATATGCCTTTTAAATGCATTATTATCTCTGTGTTTGATTTGTTACTCATTCTTTTTCATTTCCTTCAAACCCACGGTTACGTCTTGCTTTCCTCCAAACGTCATCAAAAGGTACTGTTTTTTTTTGCATTCATATGTAATTTTATTTGGTTAACATTGGTCACATTTTCCTTAGAAACATTTATTAACTGTATGATGTCACACTGTTGCCTTTTCCCCTCAATTATGTGTAAGGTGGCTAAGGTCAGAATTACACAATCTAGAGAAATGCTTTTGGATAGCCTTAGCTCTAACATTTGACTATTCTAGAAGCTAAATTAAACATTCATAATGTATGAATGGTGGGTTAAAAAACAAAAATGAAGAAGATCAATTTACCAATTTTGTGGTGATCATAGTATTCAAAGAATTCTGTTTTAATGCTAGGGCTTCAGTTTTGTTTCCCATCATTGCTTTGTTTCTACTTTAGTGGCCAAGATATTTCAATTAATATTTACCCTCCATGTTTTTATGTAATTAAACTTAAGATGTTACTTTGATGAGTTCAGTCCGCTGTGATGTGCTGTGAGTTTAATTTAAAAAACTTGCAATAACACTAGGCTTCAGTATAGTGAATTCTCAAGCAAGAATTTTTCTGTAAGTATTGTTATTATGCACTCACTGAAACTTAAAAGCAGTACTCCATTAGGGGAATCTACTGTATGCCCTTGAGATTTGGATCCTACGTATTTGAAAAGCCAATGAAATTGACTGCTTAGCCTTCCAAAAGTACTCTGAAATAATCATGAATGAAATCAAATAAATCAAATTATAATGTTAACTCTTACATTTTCCATAACACTTTTTGACGTCACAAAACAGAGATGTGTGTTGTTATGTAGATTCTGATGTTACAGACAAAACAGACTCCTTCACAAAAGAAACTTTTAATACATTTATCTTGGAATACATATTTCCTTTAATTTTCTGGTCATGAAATAAACTTTTATTTTACTTGCTTTCTATATCATTTGATGTCATTGAAATCACCTAAGTAATGATCTTTTGCTTTGACAGTATATCCATTACTTCAGATAATGTATTACGGAAAGAAAACCTCTTCTTAAATGAACCGATTAAACTTGATTAAAAATGCAGATTGTTGTCCCATCATTAATAATAATAATAGATCAGAATTATCAGAATAATAAACCAGAAGGCATTACTGGCGTGTTGTGGGAATGTTGCCTATGTGTTGAAAAGGCGTTCAAACAAGTCAACAAGCTGACAACAGTTGCCTTCTATTTGCTGCTTTCAACAAATATTGCAGTCTTGATTTTAATAAAAGTGAACAGAATCTTAATAGCTCCTTTAAAGTTCAAGTAATACAAAAAAAACATTATTTTGAACATTCTCTACCACCCAAGCTGAACGTACTAATGTATTTCTGTCCTTTCCGTGGTATTTTAGGTCCTTATCTGGGAGGATTGTTGGAGGTGTGTGGTGGTTTTTTACACTGATCATTATTTCATCTTACACTGCCAACCTTGCTGCTTTCCTTACTGTGGAGAGGATGGTCTCTCCAATTGAAAGCGCAGAAGATCTCGCCAAACAAACTGAAATAGCATATGGCACCTTGGACTCAGGTTCAACCAAAGAATTCTTTAGAGTAAGTGAATTTGATTATTTTACCCATTCATGGTTAATGAATTTCCCCTACCAGAATGTGCTTCTTGTTTTGACCAACGCATACAGTATAAAATAGGATTAAGTGAACAGAGTGTGGAGAATTTTAATAAAAACAGCATGAATGAAGCTTTATATACTTATTATATGATAACTAAGGTCTTATGGCTGACACCTGTCTGTAAAAGTTATGCACAGCACGTGAGTTATATAAAGAAATAACTGTGAAAAATGTCTGTGATATGCAATGGATAAACATCAAGAAGTCTTATCAAAATAATAAAGCTGGTCAAATTTCACTCATCACTGTCCTGCTAAGGCTGACATACAAAGTCAGGTATATAGCACCAGAAGTTAATTGTAGTTGGGGTGAATTACCAGAGTTGAAATGAAGTACCTAAAAGAGAGAGAAAAAAAGAATTTAAATAATAAAATGCAGTTTTGACAAATATTGCAATTAAACGTAAGTATATAATGAGTCATGAATTCATCTGAAATACAGTAGCTGAATGAGACAACAGGGTATATGCTGCCATGTCAGTATAAGAGATGTCAAAAGTATGGTACAGGATTCTTAATCATTCACAAAATGATGAAGAATGAATAAATGACATTCTATTTCCAAGATTTCTTATTGAGTAAACCTGGTGAGGCTACCCTTTTAAAAGTGCTACAGTAAGTAACAACATTTTTTTTTATTTGTTACAAAAAGCTAAAAGCCAATGTGTGCTTCTGCTGTTCTTCCTGCTGGACTTCATAAATCAATGAATGATTTGTTTGGCATACAGACATTTACAGAGCTATGTTGTAGACCAGTCAAAAGTATTGTAAGGGAGATAATTGAAAGGTGGTTAGGGACCTGTAGATTTAAAATATACTACATAATGAGTGCCCTAGTTACATCCTCAATCTTCAGATTGGAAATGGTATGTGTGAGCTATGATTCCAAGGGACTTTTAATTAAAAATTACAGATGACTGAAGAAGAAAAAAAAACACTGATTGATAGGAGTTCAAGTTATATTTTAAATTCATTCTCCACAAAAGACATTTTAGTTTAATTAGACCCATATGGTAGAAAGCATGTGGAAATATCAAAGCAAGTCTTTTTAATCAACATCCTTTGGTATGAAATAATAAGCTGTACATTTAAGGATTCTCTTCCTAATTATTCTGTGCTGTCCTCTTACAATGGGAGGAAAGTCTGTCTGTTTAAACTCTTATTAGTTGTCATTGATGTAGAAAGTGGAGAGTTTCAGATTTTTTTCCATTAAAAATCTTCACCAAGAAGCACCATTAAAATACTACTAACTTTGGTCTTCAAATAATTTTAATAAAATATCATAAGACAAAAACAGAATACATTCAGAACTATTTTGTTGACTACATGCAATAGATAGTATGCATGCAACAGTAACCTTGGCAGACAAAATTTGCAGAATGATAACCTTCATATAGAACAAATATACTATGTTGGTATATTATAGAATATGCTAAGAATTATTTTGGACCTAATACTATTTATATGTAATTTAACATATTTTATATTTTAGAATAAAGGAGCAAATCTGAAATATGACTGTGTTATCTGAGGAGCTTTATTAAATAGTCAAAATGATCATTTAGAGTAGAGGATTTAAAGAGATCTTTGATAGTTCATCTGATTGAATCCTTTTTATGGTGAAATTATAGGTTTCTATAATTGCTAGTTCTGCAGTCAGAAAGAAGTATGCATACAAATGCATACATATGCAGTCAAAGTTAATAAGTGGGGCTGTAATAAGAAGATAATTCTGGTCCTTTACCTGTAGTGTGCATATGATATGCATCCAGCAGAATGCAGATGTCATGTCTTTAATGAGTTTGAGTGAGCCCGCTATTTTAGAACTTAGGATACTGAGTTCAGGGTAAGCAGGGAAAATCAATCCTGCTTTTGTGTTTGAACAAAAAACTCTTTCTTTAGAACATTGTCAGGGGCTAGCATCTGTCAGATTCATATTAAATATAAACCATTTTGCCTACTGCTTCATTTATAATTTTACTGATCATGCAGAGGACATTCATTCTAATTTAAGTCTAATACTTTATACTGTATAAGAAAATTGCATTCTATTAATGTAGTACTATGATGGAAGATGTCCATTTGGAAATTCCAAAAAGTCTTTTGAAATACAAAGATATGAGAAGTGAGAGTTCCAAAATAAAGAATGCATGAAAAATATTTTATTTCAATCTTGCTGCATTGTAGTTTTCTGATTAACAATTGAAAATAGAATCTGAAGTTGGATACTTTTAAATTTATCATGATCATGGGATCAAGTAAACCATATAAAAATGTGTTATATAAGTGAGTGATTAAACATTGTCATATAACATTGTATATAAATTCTATTCACGCGATACAGAAAATTCTTACCAACTATATAATTTGGTTATAAAGTAATGACATAAGCAGCCTGAAAACAGTGAGACGCACGAATCAGGCAAAATATTATATGTTTATATAATGGCTTTAAGATATAAATTCCTTAGCATTCAAACATCAGTCATGCCGTAGTGAGTAATCTGTCAATGGCAGTTTTTTAACCTGTGTCAGAATTTGTTCAGAAGGGTCAATGCATTGGCATTTAAAGCACTGCCTCTGACATTTACAGGATTCTCCTGTGACATTCTTGTACAAAGGCAATTTTATTGTGTAAATGGCTTCTTCGTGCCAACCTCTACCACAAACTGCATGGTCAAGTTCCTTGGACTTTATCCCAAGGAAATCTATCTTGGGATTTGTTCCAGGCATCATCTAAAAGGATACTCATTGAAAAATTAGCACTGTAACACTTAACATTGTTGGTTTCTCACCAACACACTAAAAACCATTTAGTTTGTTCCTCCTTTTTAGCATTTATAATTCAATTACAGTTTACAATTCACAACTGTCTGTTTAGCCCTATATTCTTCATGAACTCCTTTTATGCTGTCCAAAAAAATCAATTTGTTGTCATGATGACTTTTTCATACAAAGCATGGATAAGTCATTTGGAGATGAATCTGGCACTGACAACCCTAATCTTGCAGGTACCTGTTTAGCCAACAATTCACGAAAAAATAGCCAGTTCAGCTTCATAAGTATGATTAATTAACCATCAGGATTCACACTGGACACCTAAAGGTTTTAGAGTACCCTTTAGAGCTCTCAGATAGTTTGCAAACCAATGCAGTTTGAGACTCAAACAATAAGTTAAAACTAGTTTTATAAATTCTAAGTGTGGTATTGAACAAAACTCTTACAGTATATGTTATGAGCTACAGTACTTAAATACATTCTTTTATCTAAGGTGAAACTGATTTGTTTATTGGAATCATAGTGGATGACATATTTAACAATTTGACACTTTAGGTTTCTGAAAAAAAAATCATATTCTGAAAAAGCACCCAGATTTGAATGTAGCAGTCATTATTCCTCAGAGATAATGAAATAAAAAAGTATTTTGAGAATCATTGCTTCTTTTTGTCTTTCCTAGAAGTATAGAGTATCCCCATTAGATGTTATTTTCTTGCTTCTTCTTATAGAGTTGTGATGTTTGGAGTCACCACTAAACCAGGACAAAATGACTAATAATAGATTATGGTAACCATTCCCCAAACTGACACAGCTTACAATAGTTATATAACAAAAAAAAACAATTGTTCTTATTGTTGAGAATCTGAACAATAAAACTTACAAAGAAACATCTCACAGACCTAAGTAGTGGCCTGACAGGGGCACTATTTCTTTAAAATTGAAGGCAATGACAAATTTGTCAGAAATAAAGCCTGTGTAACAAGTGGTTAATCATACAGGCTAACATTTTTGTAAAAGCAGTAATAGAACTAAGAAATGGAGTAAGCCTCACTTTTGGTTTATCACCTATTTGGTTCTGAGATAGTGTCAGCTTGAAACACCATGTGTGCCTCTGGCTAGATCTGGGCAGCAAAAAGTGCATCAAATTTTAGCAGGTATAATATACTGTAGTTTTAACATGCATAAATAATGGGGAAAAGCACAAAGAAACACTCCAAACTGGGGTGAGCATTTTAGTTAGCACGATTAGCACAATTCTATTTGTTGAATTTTGTTATATTACTGATTAAGTTTGGATTTTCATGCTTAACCCCATTTACTGCAGTAATGTTGCCTTAAAATATCAAATAACATCGGGGATTACATTAGAGAGCTCTGTGTATTTTTCAGACAAGATTTATGTAAATCCCACATGAAGGTAAATCAATTTAGTAAGTCTTTGACCAAAGTGACTTTTTTAAAATGTAAATCCAGTATTAATAAACTGAAAAGTGGCTTGCAAACATCCTAATTTGTTCAAGACAGTCACCTTTTCATAAAGCCAAGACAAATGACCTTTGCAGCTCTTCTGCAGAGCTTATGCAAATTCAGTAAAGCTGCGAGGCTGCATTGATGTTCCTTATATTTTGTTTTTACACATTACAAAAACTGTAAATTGCTTTTTTTTAATTTCTGAGACCGGGTTTTAAATCAGCTATTATGTGCAGAGAAATGGTGAATACATTTTGTGTTCACTAACAACTGACTTTATAAACAAACCTACAATTCTTCCAAAGCAACTCGGTAGTCAAATACCCAGTATTATGCTTTGCTTTGAAGTCCCAGTCTTTCAGAATAAACCTCCTATGTGTTCTGGTAGAAAGGGAAATAATTTTGCTGCTCAGAAAGGGAAGCCTTGACAAGATCCTTGCTTTACTTGATTAGCTAAAATGTGGTAGCATGCTTGTGACCCTGAAAACAATTCTAAGTAGGTGAGGGGTAACCTTGAACGAACTGAGATGATTGTAGGGGCTGGGTTTAATGGAATTTTGCATGTAGTGTATAAATTAGAATACAATACATGCTTCTGTCGCTAATAAAACATATCCAGTGGTCTGTATAGCTTACTGGCAAGTATTTGGACTGGGAATACTGGGAATTTTCCTA